GATGGCACCTCTCCCCATCCACCTTCACACATGTGCCAGCTGGGCTTGTACTGTGCAAGTGGAGGGGCATTTCTGTGTCTATACCTGTGGTGGGGTAAGCACAGACAAACACCCACCCAGCTGCTCTCTCCTCCCCCCCTCCTTCAATGATCGAGGGGCAGAGAAAAGAGCACCTCCATGTCAGTGTAAACACTGCAGGCAAGGCAAGGGTATGACTGGGTAGAAAGCAACTTTGCAGAAAAGACAGCTTTTGGGTTTCATCATTCTTGTCCCTTCCTAGGAGATCATATTACATATTCCCAGAGTAGCACAGTGGTAAGATGTGACACAGAACATGGGAAATTTGGGTTAGATACTTTTTCACCTTTAGGATATTCAGACTTGGAACAGGCTGCCCAGAGAATTTGCCAAAACATCCTTGAAATTTTTAAAAACTTTACTGGACAAGACCTTTTCCAGTTGGCCTACTTTGAGAAGAGGAAGGACCAGAGATTGCAAAACTTTATTCCAAACTACATTTTCGGTGTTTCTACAAAGTTACATTGAATGTGCTTGATTTCCAAACCTATACTCAGACTGGAGCTGAGCTGCCAGGACCTGTATAGAGGAAATGGTAAAGCCACCTTCCTAGAAAGAGGAATTCCTGTGGGATATACACACTGACCTCTGAACTGCTTGGACTAGAATTGAACATGTTGCAATTGTAAACAATTGTGGAAATTTTCCCACAGGATTGAAAATGATGATTAAGATGCAAGTTTGGGATGGTCTTGTCTTCAAAGAGACCAGAAATGCCTCCTTATTTGTGATATGCCAATACAAATACATCAGAAATCTTAACACATCAGAATCTATGGAACACATACTAGGAGTCACAAATTCTAATATTTGAAAGAAATTTAAGGAGTGTTGCCTAAACACTGCTTCAGTTCAGCTGAGGTTGTATGACTCATGCCTCTATTTCCAAAAGAATTTTGAGCCATAAACTCTGTGCACCAAGATGGAGATATTTGTGATGGATTATTTTGGGGGTGCATAGTGGTGGATTGGCTTAGTGGTTTGTTTTGGGGGATATTTTTGTTATTAGTTAGTCTCTGCAGAATTCTTTGTGTTTTGCAGGTGGCTCATCTGGGCATTATGTTTAGACAACACTTTGTTCAGTGCTCTGCAGCTCACCATTGATTCACAGATCACAGGAGACTGATGAAAGCAATTTAATTCCCATGTGATGGTGTTGATATTTTGCCCATTTGGGCATGAATAGAAGACTTTTTTTCACCCTCTAAGTAGGTCATAAGAGACTTCTGGTAGAGTTTGCAAAGCTGCCTCCTGTATCCTACCTGAATAAATACCAGCCCCCGGGAACTTGTGGCAGTCCTTTGCACCCCTGCAGTATTGACCTCTCAGCCACAAGTGTGCCAAGTAGATATGGAAGGAAAAAGGAGTACAGAAATTCTCTGTCTTTTAGCTCCATGAAAAGAGTCATTTTGCCCTTAGCTTTGCTTTCTGTCTCACTCTCAGAGAAAATTGTATTGTGGGTATTGATGTGAGGTTTGTGCACAATTACCTCTTTTTTTAAAGGTGTAATTTTTGTACTTGGAAAAATAGGCAGCTGCAACAGGCAAAGTCTTTTCTTTGCACTTGTATTTAGGCAAGAGTCTTAAAGCTAGAATTTCATCTATACCTCTTCAAAAGCAGGTGACTGACTAAAATTTGGTAAGTCTATAATATTATCAAATCTAATGTTTCCAAGAGAGCTTGTTCAAGCAGCGGACTAAAAGCATTTTCAGGGCAGTATGATCAGATTTTTAGAGTGGACACATATGTGCATAAACTATCTTTAAGCTACATACTGATGTTCTTTTACTAAGAAATAAATTTAGTTTTCTATTTGCTTACTGTTTTCACGCTGAAATAATAAACTGAAGAAGTGTGAGAAAAAGAGTGACTGGACTGGAGATATATGGTACCGATTTTCAAAAATCATTTATTTTTCAATAAAAGCATATAGTACAAAGGAACAAAGATGATGAAATGTATCTATGTGTGTTTTAATCTATTCACAGGAAATATTTTGGAGTTGTTTTTGCATTAGTTGTATTCATCAGTGTTAATCATCAGTGCATTGAATGTACTGAGAAAACTATCTGCCTTGTAGAATTTGCATCTATACTGCAAGATGGAAAACTCTGTGCCTACCTGCCCCGGTAAAATGATCTCAAGACTTTGTTCTTTATCAAATTTGGCTGGAATTTATACACAGTAACAAACAAACTTACCTGAAACAGAAAAAAAAAGTGAAAATGTGTGTTTACTCATTGTCATTTAAAAGACCTGGACCTGGTTGATGGTCACACTTGGTCATTTTAGAGGTCTTTTCCAGCCTTAATGATTCCATGACATTGTCTCAGTGGGATGAGTGAATTTGTCTGGAACTTGCACCAGCTATTCTGGCTCCTGCAAATTCAGTCTTGCTCCATCACGGTGTTGTAGAAGATGAGGTGCTGGTTTTTGTCCTATTCATCCACTGCTGCTCAAAAAAGATACCTTTTATGCAAAATATACAGTTCATTATCAAAACCAATTTGGGATCGCATGCTGGGGCATCCTCTTCCTTTATTCTCAGCAACATACAGAAGAAATGATGATGATTGTATGATACCTTGGAGCACCTCCTGCTGGCTGCTGATGAAAAAAAGTGTAAATGGTGCAATTTTAAGATCAAAGAGCTGTCTGGAAGAGATGGCAACCATTAGAAACGTGTAAGTTTAAACTGGTTTAATGAAATCTAAGCACAACAGTAAATAGAAAGAAAGCATCAGGAGTAATGTTATGAGTTAGAAGCTCAGTTGATGAGATAAAAAGATGTAGCAGGAAGTTACAGCTAAGCAGAACTGAAATATGGATGTGGCTGAAGGTGAAGAAGCAGCAATATTTTACACCTTACATATTCAGCTGTTATGCATAGATGGACATTCCTGGTTTAGTATTTTTCCTTTTGCAATATTTTACCCTGTTCTAGACAGAAAGTTCAAGACTGCAAAAGTCTTTATCCATGTTAATTTCTTGAGTTCCTATGCAGGTTTTGTGTTTGATTACAAATGTTATGTTTTGCTCTCTTCTACACTTGTTTGTATTAAAATAGCAGAGATACAAACGAGTTATGTAATACTGTTACTCCTCGCAACTGTAAAGACATTTTGCCTTTGCTTCTTACTGTTCTAGCAATGCTGAACCAAACAGAGGTCAGTGAATTCCTCCTCTTGGGTCTCACCAATATCCAGGGGCTGCAGCACTTTTTCTTCACCTCCTTTCTGCTGCTCTACTCAGCCACTCTTCTGGGAAACAGCATCATCGTGATTGTGGTGATATCTGAGCCTCGGCTCCACACACCAATGTACTTCTTCCTGGGGAACCTGTCCTGCCTGGATATGTTCCTCTCCACAGTCACTGTTCCGAAGATGTTGACTGGCTTCCTCTTCGGGCACCAGCCCATCTCTTTTGGGGGGTGCTTGGCCCAGCTGCACTTCTTCCACTTCCTGGGCAGCACGGAGGCTGTGCTCCTGGCCGGGATGGCCTACGACCGATACGTGGCCATTTGCAACCCTCTGCACTATGCCCTGGTCATGAGCCCACGGACTTGTCTGCTGCTGGCTGTGGCCAGCTGGTCCACTGGGTTTGTACATGCTGTGGTGCACTCAGTCATGACCTCTCAGCTGAGTTTCTGTGGCCACAACCAAATTCAGCACTTCTTCTGTGACATCAAGCCACTGCTGAATTTGGCTTGCAGTAGGACCAGACTCAACATGACACTCCTCAATGTTGTTACCACATCTATTGTTTTAGGGCCCTTCACTCTCGTAGTCCCTTCCTACCTCCATATCATCTCCTTCCTCTTCTATAAAGTCCAGTCCCAGGAAGGAAGATGGAAACTCTTCTCCACCTGTGCCTCCCATCTCACTGTTGTAGTACTGTTTTATATTCCAGTGCTCCTCAATTATACACCACCCTCCTCAGGAAACTCCACTCAAATGGATGTGCAAGTGACTCTCATATACAGTGCTGTCACTCCAGCTCTGAACCCCTTAATCTACACACTTAGGAACCAGGAGGTGAAAACTGCCCTGAAAAAAACCTTACGGAGAAAAGTCTTTCCTGGAGGAAAGTGACTGAAACAAGGAGAAGGCTCAGAATATGGCTGCTCCACCTCTCATATTTACAAGGAGAAAGGTGAAAAGGACACCACACTGCAAGAGACTGTAAAACTACTGATTATCTCATGCGGTTTAACACATTTAGAAGTTAATTGTGTAGATCTACATCAGGAGAGATATTCCTAGCTTGTAAGTAGCTAAAAGTTAGGTCAGGGAAGTCTTCTTCTAGGGAATATTCAAGGATAATTTCTGTGACTTTACCTGTAGTCAGTTTCTACAGACAATCTTAGTGACAATTACTCCTTATGAGAGCATGGAGTCCTTCCTTCTGAGGCACAACCACCTCTGAAGTAACAAGCTGGGAATTTCAGAAATCAGCAATACTACTGTTTGTTGCTTCTCTTTGATACGGCTTTCTCTCAAAGGAAAAGAAAGGAAAGAAACTAAACTCAGCCCATTGGATTCTCCTCCCACTTCAGAAAAGTGAAGGAAGATCATAGGCAAGAAAAAATAATCCAGCCCTCCTGGAAATAGCATGAAAATACAATTTTTTGTTTAATTTTGCTGCAAGATCACAAAAGTTCCCCTTTGTGGACTAGGGAATACAGCAGATTAATGACCATAAGTGATTATCTACTCTATCCACCTGCCTCTCTTCATGGTTCTTGACAAGTCAGGTCATTGGCTAGTTTCCTTTTGGGCTATGGTTAGTTGCTGTCATTCATCCTGAAGTAAAATGTTTTAGCTTGTTCATATCCACTTAATGTCTTAAAATTAAAGTTTTATTTTAAATGTATATATTGACCTATTTCTAAATGAAAAGTTGTTGTTTGGAAATTAAAAATACACAATTCAGGTAAAAATCAACTTTTTCCTGAATTTTAATCCTTTAATTTGGTTGCCAAGATTGCTTTTCTAAAGATGACTGAAATCGAGCAAATATTCCCCATATTCCCCATGCATCTATATTTTTCATTTTTTGAAAAAAAGTATAGTCCATGTGTGCACGAGAGTTGTGTTCTTATTACTTTAGCTATCTCACTATCCACAAAACTTTCTTTCACCACTAATAAAAATTCTTATTTCCCTGCCTATCTACCTATCAAATATTTTTTACATCAGCCTGATAATTGTCTTACCAAATATTTGTCTGTTTAATTCTTGGATGAGCACCATCACTGACCCCCACCTTTGCTCTCTCATGTTATAGTGCTCATATCTATGCTTTGGTTTGAGTGTCTTCTCATCATGTGCCTGCCTCTGGCAACTCAGCTTGTGTTGGTTATGTTGGTTTGTGGTCGTGAAAGAGTTTGAAAGTGTTCATCTTCAAAGTGTTAGAAAATGCTATTTGTTTTTTTTTTTTTAAATTTGATCTGTGTCACAGTTTTTGGTACAGTTTTACCTGAGTGTGCAGGTAATTTCACAAGAGGAGCACCTGTGGCAATTGGAGCTGTCACTACATTTGCAATGCAGTGCTGTTTCTGAGGATGGTGAGAGGGACGATCTTATCATGGGCATCTTTGCCCTTTGTGACTCCTGAAAGAAACAGCCAAAGACACAGATTCCACAAGTTGCTTGACCACAAAGATAACTTTGCTTGGTTTTGTTTGACAGCATCAACAACATAGGAGAATGATGCTTACTAAGTTCATTTGGAGTATATTAATTGACATCATGTCTTGAATAAGAAACAAGAAATCCTCTGTTGCATAATTAAAAAGTTGAAGTAGAGCAAACCTTTCTCAAAGACTATTTCTCCTATTAGCCACCTGATGACTGTAACAGAAAATTAGCAGTAAGAAAAAGTTTGTTCCAGCGTACTCAATCTACCAAGCCCTTGGGTAAAAATTACACAGGGTGAAGGATGGTGAACTTTACTGTAGTTTTAATGGGGCCTGTGAGGTTATTAGTGATGGAACAACTGAAGAAAGTCTAAGTGGCTCTCCCAAGAGACAGGAGCAGAAAATCACAGCATAGTTACAGGAAAATAAAGGAAGGGAGAAATGCTTTCACTAAGCAGCTCCTTTGATATGTCCTGTCCCAGAAAGAAGCCAAGTGCTGGCCCACACCAAGACCTTTTCAGGCCTCATGTGCCTCAGACTTGTCTCTGGTCAGTGTGGGACTTGCAGAGGAGACATCCAGGCTCCCAGGATGCCTGGGCAGAGGTGTATGAGCCTGGCCCACACATCACTGCTGTCCCAGCCTTGGTGTTCCCCCGTCCTGTGGTCCCGGGCTCAAGCACTGCTGCTCTGTCCTGAAACACAACCCTTGCCTTTCATGGCACCCTCTGGCCCAGCCTGCAGACCCCTGGCACTCCAGTCTCACAGAGATGGTGCCCAGCTTCTCCACAGAGTCCCTCCTGCCCCAGACCAGATCCCCACCCCACCAGATCCCCCTGCTTCAGTGGTGCCTCACAGACTGCCCCTGCAACCTGTAGTCACTCCCTGCAGACCATTCCCCATGCTCTCCAGAGATGTATGGGAGCTCTTGAGCCATGAAGAACATTTTATCTCTAGTGATCACGTCTTAAAGGTCCCAGTTGTCCCAGCCCTACCTCCAGCTCTGTTCAGTGGGTGCCCAAGCTCCCACTCTCAGTGTCACAACCCTCTTCTCAATCCCAAGGCCTTGAACAATTCCCAATGTAACATTACTGTTTTCAGTTGTTAAAGAAGCAGCCAAACACACACGTACACAAACAAACAAAAGACCTAGAGTTCACAAAATTTGACCCTGCAAACCCTGGAACTGTATCTTGGGAATTCACAGAGGAGAGCTGTGGTCATCTGCAGGGATTTATCAATCCGTGATCCACCAGAACATGACAGGTATCAGGTACCTGGATACCCTCCAGGAACACCCCTCCCTTGACTCTCAGCTTGCCTTGAGGACTCTGCGCCTAATTAGCGAATGCTTAAGGCCCATCCGATAGGACATTGTTTTCTTCAGTCGTCTGACTCACACACTTTTTGCAACTCCTTTGGAGGCAGATTCTTTGTGAAACAGCTCTCTAACTGATACCCTCATCCTGGCTGTCAAGGCTTTACTTACTGCTAAATCCTCATCATCCCACCTAGCACACATCACTCTGTATTTTCTAAAACATTTCAGCGACATCAGTTACATTTCTTTTTTTTCCCTATGTTTTTTAATTTACTTATTTAGGAAGTTCCACAATGTTTACATTTCAGCAGCAAACAGATATCTTTTCCCTCCCAATTACAAAAATGTTCTTCAGTTGAAAATTTCAAATTTCCATCAGATCTATTCAAGAGCTTCCTGTTTCATTGTTTCTATAATTTCTTTCTTAAGTTAAATAGGAGTATCAATTCAGGTTGTATGAGAGTTAAGATCTGCAATAAACATTTTGGTTAAAAAATCTCTGATTTTTCTGCTTATTTATACCCTCATTTGTCCCTTCATTTTATCTCTGTTTTCAGAGGAAAGCTTTTCAGAAAAGATAGAAAGAAATATGTTGTAGGATATTAAGTTCTGTCCAAAATCCAAATTGTATCCTCCCAGGTTAAAGCTTCACTAGAAAAATACCAATCTTCTGGCATCTATAATTATTCCAAAAACACATCAATGAATGGATAGGAGCAGAAGGAATGGGACTCTATAGCAATGTATGGAATATACTGGAGTACATGAAAGAAATTTTAGCAAGCACAGTGAGGACACTGTTAGAGCACATGATTTCAGATGTTACTTAGAGATGAGCTGATTCACACCGAAGAAATGACAATGTCTTTCTTTTGGCTGTAAAGGGATGTCCAGGCATATCCACACCATGGAATGCCACAAAAGTGCCCTTCCACCCCAGCTGTCTGCTGACATCTGTATTAAGTTGTCTCTTTAGATCAAGCTGCAGTGGCTCCTGTGCCTGATTCGTGAGATCAGCCTTGCCCCTTACGTTCTCTGCAGTGAGTAACAGCAGTCCCAAAGATCCCTGCACCCCTACTGAGTGTGATCAGAGTAGGAGCAGCTCACATAAAATCATAGAATCACAGAATCACAGACTGGTTTGGGTTGGGAGGGACCTTAAAGACCATCTTGTTCCACCACCCTGCCATGGACAGAGACAGCTTCCACTAGACCAGGTTGCTCCAAGCTCCATCCAACCTGGCCTTGAACACTTCTAGGGACAGGGCAGCCACAGCTTCCCTGTGCCAGGGCCTCACTACCCTCACAGCCAAGAATTCCTTCCCAGTATCCCATCTAACCCTTCTCTCTGGTGGTGAGAAGCCATTCCCTCTCATCCTATCTCTCCAGACCCTTGTTCAAAGTCCCTCTCCAGCTCTCTTGGAACCCCTTTAGGCTCTGGAAGAGGCTCTAAGATCATGTGATAGATCCACATTTTTGCAAAATTCAAAGAAATAGGGTCTGCAAACAAAAACTGCTACTGCAGGTGATACCATGTTTCCACCATCTACCCTTGCAAAGTGAATAATAAGAAATAAATAAAATAAAAATAAAATAAGAATAAATAGAATAAGAATAAATTAGAATAAATAAGAATAAACAAAATAATAAATAAATAAAATAATAAATAAATAAATAAAATAATAAATTAAATAAATAAATAAAAATTAAATAAAAATTAAAATAAAAAATAAAATAATAAATAAATAAAATAAAATAATACATTAAATAAAAAAAATAAAAATAAAAATAAAATATAAAATAAAATTTAGAAATTAATAAATAAAATAAAATAATAAATAAATAAAATAAAATAATAAATAAATAAATAAAATAATACATTAAATAAATAAATAAAAATAAATAAAAATAAAAATAAAAATAAAAATAAAATAAAAATAATAAAAATATAATTTAAAAAATAATAAAAAATAAAAAATAAAATAAAATAAAAATAAAATAAAAATAAAAATAAAAATAAAATATAAAATAAAATTTAGAAATTAATAAATAAAATAAAATATTAAATAAATAAAATAAAATAATAAATAAATAAATAAAATAATAAATAAAATAAAATAAATAAAGTAAGAATAAATAGAATAAAAAGTGAATAAGAAGCCATCTGCGCCAGCTTCCATGTCTCCCATTATCCTTCCAAAGACGGTCCACTTTATCCTCTGTCTTCCTTTGATTACCAACGTAGAGGTTGTAGCCGGGTGGGGGTTGGTCTCTTCTCCCAGGCAACCAGCAGTAGGACAAGAGAGCACAGTTTTAAGCTGTGCCAGGGGAGGTTTTGGTTGGATATGAGGAAGAAACTTTTTACAGAGTGAGTAATCAGACATTGGAATGGGCTGCCCATGGAGGTGGTGGATTCACCGTCCCTGGAGGTTTTCAAGATGAGACTGGATACGGCACTCAGTGCCATGGTCTGGTAACCACGGAGGTGTTGGATCAAGGGTTGGACTGGTTGATCTCTGAGGTCTTTTCCTACCTGGCTGGTTCTATGATTCTATAATTCTGTTCTATGATACAGTAGAACTGACACAGTGGCTACTTGGTGAGAAACCAGGGGTATCCCGTGGGAAAGTCAACAGGCAGATTTTGTATTTTTGAGACAGCTCTATTCCATCTCATGTCAGCAATCAAGATGGATGATATTCAGCCTCTGCAGCTCCGTAGGGGCCCAAGTCACTGTGGCAGAAATTGGTCTTTCAGACTGTTTTGTCTACACTCCCCTCTAGCGGTGTTTGGAGGGACTTCACTTCTTCATGTGATCTTTGAATTTTCCCTTGTTCTTATGACATTTTTTCTTTTTGAGGTTCACCAAGCAGATGCAGAGTTGTGCTTTGCCAAGAGATCAAGCTGTTTCTGCCTGGCCTTGCAACCTGAACACCGACTAACAAATTTCAACGGACCCGACCTTCTTAAATGCCAGCTGGGAGGCTGTGGCACAAAATCAGGACCTGGAACAATCATCTCACTTATTTGTGATACCACAGCTAGGAGGAAGAAGCCCTGTGGAGAAAGAAGATGGAGCAGCATCTCCAGAGGACAACTGAATTATCCTCACAGGCATCTGCCTGGCACTGAATCGAGGCCCTAGTCAGGTTTAGATTTCAACACAGCAGTGCTGACTTGGTAGCAGTGATGATCATCATAGTAATCTTTAGCTCAGTCATCGTTCTGTCTGTCTACATAATTCCGTCCAGGCCCAAAAAGTGATCAAAGTGTAGGCTAAAAAAGAGCTAATTCCAACCAGAGTGTACAGGGAAAGAATGGTTATTTATGTTATTTATGAGACTGATGACAACAACCTCTCCAAGGCTTTTGTTTGCTTGATTATCCCCTGGGGTGTTTTACTGGTCTCAGCTCTGAAAACGATTTTAAGGAGTGAAGGGGTAGGAGGAACACTCTCTACCTGATAGAATGGAAGAGCTGGTATATTCAGTTGGCTAAATAAAAAAAAAGGAAAATCTGAAAATTATTGAGGGGACAACACACACGACATGTTTTTGCAAACACAGAGCTCTAATTTTCTTCTTTTTCCCCTTGTTCTCGAGAAAATCAAGATCTTCATGAAAATAAAGCTGTATACAAAAACCTCAAGAAGTCAGATCTTTTACTTGGATTTCAATGTTCCTGTGGCTTCAGGTAAGAAACAGTGCTGAAGGTTTTGTTGACTGACACAGAAACAGGCCACACTTCCAGCATTTTCAGTGGTCAGATGTTAGAAAACTAACTAAAAATTTGGGGTTTGAATGCGTGAGAGTTTAAGGGAAATTTTAAAATTAGTTCTGTGGAAAGAAGTGTGTAAGTCTTGCAAAGTTACGCTATTGTATGAGGGCAGAGGGGCAGAATTCCCCATTCCCCTGCTGCCCACTCTGTGGGATCAGCCCAGGACATGGAGGGTGTCTGGGTTCCAGCACACGTGGCCAGGGCATGTCCATGAGCTTCTCGTCAGCCAGCACCCCCAGGTCCTTCTGCCCAGGGCTGTTCTCCATCCATTTCCCTGTGTTTGTGCTGGGATTGCCCCTGCCCAGGGGCAGGACTTTGCCCTTGGCCATGTTGAACTTCATGAGGTTTGCACGGTCCCACCTCTCCAGTCTGGCCAGAACCCTCTGGATGACATCTCTTCCCTCCAGTGTGTCAAACACACCATTGACTGACTGACCTGTAGCTCCCTGGGTCTTCTTTGCTTCTGTTTTTAAACGTGAGGGTTATGTTTCCTCTTTTCCAGGCAGTGGGAACTTCACTGGGAACTTCACTGGATTGCTACAACCTGTCAAATGTGGCTTAGACACTTGTTTCCCACAAGATGCACAGATGTGTCTCGTCATCTCCCATGGAGTTGTGCACCTTCAGCCCCCTTGGATGGTCTGTACCTGATCCTCTCCTCATTCTCCCGCTCCTGCCTTTGCCTCCTGTGATTCAGGCAGTGTGGATGGAGCACTTGCTGGTGAAGATCAAGGTAAAAAAAGCCATGGAGTACCTCATTCTTCTCCAAGTCCCACATAACCAGATCTCCTTCTTTCCAGAGAGGACCCACATTTTATCCCCAACATATATATAGAAGCTTTTTTTGTTGCTCTTGGTGTCCTTGGCCAGGTTTAACTTTTTTTCCAAGGCTTTAGCTCTCCTAACTTGATCTCTGCCTGCTCAGACTCTTTTTCTATATTCCTCTCAGGCTACCTGTCCATGCATCCACCCTCTGTTGTCTCCCTGTACCAGTTTACCCTTAACTGCAGTATTGTGGCTAGTTTGAGCACTGATTTTTTTTTTAAGAAAATCCAGAAAAAATTCTTCAAAGCCCCAGGATTTTTGGAAAATCAGATTTGTAAGGGAATCTAGAGAATGACACAGGAGAGGAAAATAAAAAAGAGCACTATGACAAGCAGTAGGATTTATCTGAACTGTATTTTTCTGATTAAGCACCTGGCTACTGAAGTCTCTCTGATTTCTCAGTGACAAGAAATCGGTCCTTTCAAAAGATGACTTACTCTGTCTTTTTTAGGTGAATTAAACTCCTTAAATTTGTTCTACCTCTTGACAAGAATGAAGGATGAGACAATTGCAAAGTGCTTTTGTTTGTGAGTGTTTCAGGGGGTTTTTTGACAGGGTAAACATATGTGGAGGATGGTATACATGCCCTTCATACTTCTTTTCATTGAAGGAAGTTGAATTGTTTTTCAAATAAGATTTGAAATGTGTTTGAAATGCTAAATTTGAATTGTTCTTCAAATAAGAAAAATGTCTGCACAAGAAGTCATGCTACATACCTATAAATAGTGAATATATAATATACATCAATGACATCAATACTTATTAACAATGCAAATACAGCTATGTCACTGCTGGAGCAATCTGACCAAATATTTATTTTCTTCACAACAGAAATGAATATGGCAAAACTTGTGACAGCATCTGATAAAAGAACTTGATTTTTCATTTGCTTGCACAGACTGGAGACATGCTAGAAAGCACCCTTGTGCCAGAGAAGAAACATGGACATCAGTTCAGTTGCAGGTACTCCTCTTAGTACGTGGAGTAATAATTAATGTGACTCTGAGTGTGTGAGAAATATTTTTGTAAAAATTACATGACAGGTCTGGTGATGCAAAGACTTTTTTACTCTTGGCTTCTCTATTCTGTGAGGAAATTTTCATTATTTTCCTAACTGTAGAGGTCTTCATTGCTGGTAGCATTTCCTGACTTAACACTAGAACAAAAGTTATGGCAAATAAAGAGTGGAAAAATGGAACAGTTGTTACAGAGTTCATCCTCCTAGATTTTGGGAATGGCCCTGAACTAGATTGTTTTCTCTTCCTGATGTTTCTGTCGATCTACTTTGTGACCATAACTGGGAACACGTGCATCGTTGTGCTGGCGGTGGTTGACCAGCACCTCCACACCCCAATGTACTTCTTCCTGGGCAATTTGGCCTGCTTGGAAATCTGCTACAGCTCCAATATCTTGCCAAGGATGTTGCTCAGCTACGCAGGTGGAGACAGGCGCATTTCAGTCAGGGGGTGTTTCACACAGTACTATTTCTTCGGCTGCCTGGCGGGTGCAGAGTGTTACCTGCTGGCCGCGATGTCCTACGACCGGTACCTGGCGGTGTGTGAGCCCCTGCACTACCCATCCCGCATGGACACCAAGCTCTGCCTCCGCCTGGGCGCTGCATCCTGGGTCAGTGGCTTTCTGTCCAATTCCATACTGACGTTCCTGATCTCAAATTTGGATTTCTGTGGGCCGAATGAAATCGACCACTTTTTCTGCGACTCCTTCCCGGTGATGAAACTCTCCTGCAGCGACACGCGGGTGGCGGGATTTGTCACTTCTGTCGTGGCAGGTGTGTGCTCGCTGCCTCCATTCCTGTTGACCTTCTCATCCTATCTCTACATCATTGCCACAGTCGTGAGAATTCCTTCTGCCACTGGAAGGAAAAAGGCCTTTTCCACTTGCTCCTCACATCTGATTGTGGTGATTCTTTTTTACTGGTCAATAGTAGTTGTCTACATACTCCCTTTTCACGATACCCACATATTGCCAAACAAAGTCTTCTCTGCTTTTTACACCATTCTCACCCCCCTGGTCAACCCTCTCATCTACAGTCTGAGAAACAAAGAAATAAAGAAAGCTCTGCAGAAGCATATGAGAAAATTGCTGGCTTTCTGAAGGCTGCTTTCTGTAACAAAAAATAAGGGGTAATGATCCTTAATGAGTTACAGACACAATTACATTGTGTGTGAATGTAGTTAGTGTGAATAAAGCTTGGAAATATGTAGGTGTATCTCTTAAAAAAATATAACCAGAGGAACAAAATGGGTAAATAATCTTGCTATCAGTGGGGGGGTGCTCTGGGGAGAGATAAAGAATATGCGGTGTGCACTGTAAAGTAAGCAAAATAAATCTATGAATGTCATTATATACATATTATTGGATTTGATATCTTCTTACCAGTCTGCTTGCTTGCTTGCTTTTTCCTCACTACAGCTGAAACTCAGTTCAGAATAAGTTGAAACACAATTTATAGCAAATAGACCATTTTTTATTAGTGGTATGTTCAGGTTACTTTTAGTTTTAACACCCATGGTGTATCTGTTCAACCATAGACTCTTTAGCTGAAGGACATGCTGCTGCTGATACCTGCCTCATAACAAAAAGAGACAGCTGCCTTCAGAGGTGATGTACCCATCCTCAAATGTCCAAAACAAGTGGTCTGTTTTGGTTTGGGGTTCCTTTCTGTCCACCAAAACTGACCTGATTAATAATTCAAACAAGGCAGCCAGCAAAGAGTGTTTTTCTCCTCCCATTATCTTCAAATGGAGATTCACACTTTGTTATTTACACTTTAAATTTAAATGTTAACCCAATCATTGTTAACTTTATTGCCACTACTCATATAAGATTAAAAAGCAAAAATAAAGTCACCTTCCATTAACTTAAATTGTTTGCAGTTTGCTACCAAGGGAGACGTTTTGCCTTCTGAGTATATCTGGTAATGAGCCCAGAGAGGGATTCCTATCTTAGGAAGCAATGCAAGATACCATGTACTTCTAAACAGCTGAACCTCACCCCCTTTTTGGGATTCTACAGGAAACTACTCTCAGTCCTGATGTGCTGCCCAAAAGGCAAAAATCACAAACAGTGACTCAAATCTAAGCTGGGGGATGACACTCCAGCAAGTGTGAGAAGTGTGAAGGAGTGTGGGAAAGCAGGGAGTTTCCCATAGGGCAAGCTCTGCAAGGGAAAAGATATGGGCAGGGGCTGCAGCAGCAGGCACGTTCTGTTGGATGCCACAGGTGAGCAGAGCGTATGGACACAGCTCTTGAGACAGAACAGCCCTGAGAGGATTGGGGCACCCCAGGAGATCTCTAGTTCATCTTATCCTCAAAGCAGGGTCAGCTGTTGGGGTGAGACCACATTGTTCAGTCAGCTGGGTCTGTCAGAGGCTGCAGAACCTCCCTGCATGACCTACTCCACTGCTTGACTGTCTTTAAGGTCAAAAAGGTCATATACATGGCTCCTCCACCTTCTGCACCACCTGCAGCTTCTGCAGCAGCCCAGTTCTTGGACCCAGCAGTGGCTCAGAGGTGAGAGGTCCTTGTACACACTTCAGTACTACTCCCGTGGGGCAAATACTGATGGTACAAGGCAGAAACATCTCAGTAGTGTTGTCAGCTCTTGGGGACGGTCATCCTAGGACACAAGAAGAGGAAAGGGTTTACCCAAAAGGTTGGAGTGACAGAGCTGTGGCATGACACCAGCCCTCCAGAGGTCCACCCCACCTTCTTGTGCCCATCAGAAACAGGCTCTGAGAGGGAAGAGGGAGGAAGTCACTGCCAGAAACCCAGAGCGAAACGGGCTCCATGCCAAGTAAGCAGATGGGTGACAACCTTAGTTTCTCCTCAAAATGAGGAGCCACATGGCAGCGTGTCTTCCTTTTGCCCCCCGAGTCTGGCTCTCATGGGGCTGGTGGGAACACACTGGTGCTGTTTGTGGTGGATATGAGGTGTGTGATGTGCTGAGTAGCTCTGGTCCCAGAATTTATGTTCTCTTCTGGATTTTTTTCCAAAAATCATAAAATCTCCCACTGACAGCAGTTTTGCAAGCCAGGCCCCCCAGTTTGTGAGAAACTTGTGCAAAAGTCCACCCACCTTCCTTAACATGTCCCCATTAGGATACTTGCCTGTTTTCCCAAAATCTTGTGGACAGATAGTAACATATGACAGGTGAATGGCAGCTCCTACCAGGCTGGCCAAAAAAATAGAAGATCCCAGACGGGTTTTGTCTCTGTTATTGAAAACTGGGAAATAAACTCTCCAACCAGTTTGTTGGGTTAGGAAGCCAACATTCCTTTATTCCACACACTGGAATAATGCACACCCAGCAACCAAAGAGACCAAGTTATAGCCATGAAACTAATACATACTCACTACATTCCTATTACATATTAATTACATTCTTGAATACATGCATATATGATAATTATTTCTGTGGACTTATTTAGATATGAGCAGGGGTCTTTTGAGGGTCTTTGATGGTCTTTGGGGAACATCCCACTCCCCAAATTTCCCTTTTATTGTTCCAGATCAACTAATGAGTATCTCAGACATGTGGTCAGGTCATGATGCACTTCTCTTACCATTCTTTGATCTGACACTCCGTATTTGTTCCCAAAACTAAGACATATAAGACTAGTATATATTAGTTAATTAATTAATTAATTATAAGACATAAGACTAGTGCATATTAATCACTGATACAGGTAAATAAGGGAGCATTATCTGGCACAAGACTATTAGTCACAGATGTAGGGGGTTAACACAAAGCCACATTAATCTCTGGTATTCGTACCAGGCACTATGTGGTAACCATGGCAAACACTCTTGTGCTAAAAGTTAAAAGAATTTTCCAACATCTTCCCCCGCTGCTGCGTAGAACCCTTTTTAAAGAAATATGCCGCGTTCGGTAACGTCTCCGTTCAGCTCTCAGCGGGGGGGCGTGGAGCGGGTTCCTGGGAGAAAGGCAAAGCTCCGGCAGCAGGTCGGACAGCCGCGCACCACAGCGGTCCATCCGCTGTCACCCCTTGTGAGGGGACAGCGGGGCTGTCGCGGTCACCCCGCTGGGTGCGGGGCCACCGCTGTCCCCGCGGCCCCCCGGGCTGCGCGCCGGGCCTGGCGGGGCAGGAACGGGGATGGTGACGGCAAAAAGAGGCGACGGAAGGACAGCAGAGTGGCGCAGCGGGAGCGTGCTGGGCCCATAACCCAGAGGTCGATGGATCGAAACCATCCTCTGCTAGCTTTTATTTTCTTTTTTGGCCCCTTTTGGGGGCCCCGGAGCCGCCACGGGGCAGGAAGCGGTGACGTGCAAAGGGTAGCAGTGGCCGGTTAGCTCAGTTGGTTAGAGCGTGGTGCTAATAACGCCAAGGTCGCGGGTTCGATCCCCGTACGGGCCATCGTGGCTTTGTCTGCGTCTTGACCTTATTTTTCCCCTCTGGCCCTCCCTTTCGTGGCAGTGACGGTGCAAGGGAGACAGTCTGTAGGTCCCGGCAGAAGCTTGTAGTCTCTCCCCCTGCTTTCCCTACTCTTCCTTTTGCAAGTGTTCATTCCTATTCAAGGATAAACTTCACTGGATGTTCATGACAGTGCACCGGCTCCAGCAGCCCTGCAGACAGCGACCTGTGACTGACCTCAGCTGTGCCATGGATGGATTTTGGTGTGCAGCACCTCTGCCTGGTGGCTGTGATGGGGCAGATCAGACTCCGACCACTGAGGGTTATTGTGACTGGATCTGACCACTGATCAGATTCATCTGGGGTATAGGTGGAGCCCAGATGGGCAGGGAGGGCAGCAGAGTTAGTTCTCCTTGAAAGATGACAGCTGGGCACCCTCCCCTTTGGTCAGGACCAAGGTAACTCCATGAAGTTGTGAGTCCCCAACTTACCATAGGAGTGTTTGCACATTCTGTGTTATCCTTCTAAAATCCTGAGAATTCTGAAGTCACTTGGGTAGTACCAATTCCACTTGGCATCACAAATCTCTATTCAAATGTTGACAGAGCTTTAATTGGTTTGATTGGCTTACCTGCTTTAACTGGCTTATAAAACAAATCTCGTTTGAATATAAAATTGTCTTGATTTTATAAGCCTTCAGGACAATGTTACAGCAAATGATGCCCATTTAAACAGTGAAGAGTTATTGAAAATCAGCTTTGCACAGAAAGTCACCAATTAGCATGCAACACGTGCACCTGATTAAGCATCCTAATAGTGACAAATGTCCATGTCCCCAGCAGTGTATCCCCTGGAAGCACACACCCTCAGATGGTAGATGGGCAGTTAGATGCCACACAGCTCCTGTCATATCCTTATCTCTTAATTTTCCCACATTTATGGCTCCCTAAACCACCTTGATACCTTCTTTTCCCCACCTTTGGTTCCTCCCTCTAACCATCCCATAATAAGTCTTGTACAATCCCCAAATGCTCTTCCCTTGCATCCCACAATGTGTCCCTCACCCCTAGGCAGTCACCCCCTCAGCACAAGAGGTGACCTGCAGAGTGGCCCCCTTGGCCATCAGGGTGGGAGCTCCTCCTGGGCCCACCGACGGCCCCACGAGCAGCCAGGACAGGGGATCCCTGGCACTGTGGAGACTCCCAGGGCTCCTCCACCTCTCATTGCCCCTTTCCTCCTCTTCACTCACAGAGATGAGCTTTTAGTCACATAACCTAAGGCTGTCTCATGGCATAGGGGGGCTCCCTGCAGCCCTGGCTGACCCCACCACCCCTCATCCCAGCCCAGATCCTGCCCTGTCCCTTCTGGAGTGCCCCTTGCACCAACCTCAGGGGACACACAACCCCCAGAACCCTGATCTGAGGTGCCATGGAGGACCCCACGGTGCTGCACCCCAGCCAGTGCAGCCCCACAGCAGCATCTTCAGCTCTGCAGGGCCTGGAGGGAACAAGGCTGAGGCTATGAGGGGTCAGAAATGGGCTTGGGGGTCAGGGACATGGCTCTAAGAGTGGGTGTCAGGGATGCAGTTGGAACTCAGGCATGGAATGTAGCTCTGGGGTGTCAGGATGGACTGCCCCTGAGCATGAAGGTAATCCTTGACTACAAACCTCCTTTCTTGAGTGCCACTTCCCTCCAGGGCTTAATGGGACTGTATCAAGCA